AACATAAAAAAAATATCTTCAATTTTTGGAATTTAATAAATAAAAAATTAGGAAATCTTGTATTTTAAATAAAATCCATAAATTAGTCTCTAAAATCCTCTCTAAAACAAATAAAAATCATAGGGATAAAAAATTCCTTAATTAGGGAAAAACCCTAAATTCCTAAACTCAAAATTTTGCATAAACCTTACAATGTCCTCCCATAAAAACTTTCCCATGTCATTTGAAATATCTTTTGTGAAGGCATTTCCAAATAAACAATTTTTGAGCAAATCCTAATTTTCAAAAATTCATATTTTTCACAAAAACACTTCACATTAGGGTTTAAAAACTTCCCCTAACCCTTCCCTAAACTTTTCTCAAAGAAATTCCAAGTTTTCTCTAAACCCTAGTTTTCATTTCTTAGGGAAAACTCAAAGAAAGGAGGAGGAAACTCAAGCAAAACACATACCTTAGTCTTCCCTTAATCTCCCCTACGATTTCCCCCAAGATTGGCCGCCGGAATCCGCTCGTTGGAGCCACCCGTCGCCTCTCCTACCCGCGCCCTTCCCCTCTTCAACGCTCGGTTTGGTCGCAAGCCGCAAATGAGGACCGAAATATTTCGGTCCCCTAATAAGGGTGGGGTTCTCATAATGCAAGCATAATGACCTCAAAGCCCTTACTTAAACATCCTCTCTATTCAAAAAGCATTAAGGGTAAAAAATGTCATTTAGAATTTTCCGGAAATTTTAACTCTCAAAATACTCAAAATCTGATATGGGTTCTATACATCAAAACGATCAGAATTTTACGCTCTATTTTATAAAATTATTCTCGTCGAAATCCGTCAACTTCAAAATTTTCACTTAAAACTTGTCGCGGCGCTTTGAAAAGAGTGCGAGGTCTAAAACAGCATTTTTGGGTTTTACACATTCTTTGCAGAGCCATTGGAAAAGAAGAAAAAAACTTCGGAGTAAGGTGTATTTTACTTGCCTAATAATTTGTTTTCATTATATATTATGAGGCAATATACATTTTGTGGAGCTTAGTTTTTCAACAGTGAAATCTGTTGTAAAGGCAAATACAGTAGAACTATATTTTCCGTCAAGGAATATCAAGTTCTCAAACAAGCCCAAATACATCAACGAGGAATTTAAAAACCAGGCAACAATGGTTTGTGTTTTTTGCGTTGTTTCACACACATTCACTTAAAATGTATTATTAAAAAATTTAAATGTCGAATGCCGCGAAAATGCATGCTTCTGTAAATCAACTATGCAAAATTTTATGTAAAATGACAATTTTTTGGACGCTCATTTATTCTCTCAGATGTAATTATTATGCATTTTTTTCTCTTTAATTTATGTGATGTTTTGTTCATTTTGATGTTGTGTACCGTTGAATATCATTGTGTATCGTTGTGTACCGCTGTGTACTGCTGTGTATTACTGTGTGCCGCTGTGTACTGCTATGTATTAAATTAATTTTGAGTATTAAATTAGTATCATGTGCATTTAATTAATTTTTCAAAATAAAATAAAACTTGATAGATATATATATATAAGTACTTATGAATTATATATATATATATGTATATAATTAAATTTATTTTGAAAAATAAATTATAAGTTATCTAAAATATTAAAACTATACACACGCACAAAAGATTATTTGGAGGATAAACTATATTTTCTTTTAGTTGCAAAATAATTGAATAATAAAAAGAATGGAAGTGAATGAGACAGAATAGAAAAAATAGGATATCGACTGGCTCACCAACTACATTCACTTCATTCAAGTCAAAATTTTATAAGTTTATTCTTCATAGGTGCTATTCCCTGAGATTGTTCGTGTGGTGGATATTTTTTTCTTCAACCAGGTCAATTTCAAGATTCTAGCTTTTTTTTTTGGTCATATTTTGATTGTATGTGCTGATGTTGATTCTTTAATATCATAGGTACTTGTGGGTAATTTAAAAAACTTATATCTTTCATTGCATCTCCTGGGTTAAAAGCTGGTAGTGGGAGGGCTAGTGGTGATAGAACAAGGAAGCCTCATAACCGTGATGACCACTAATATTGAATTGTTATGATCATAGTTATTTTTGGTAATGCTCAGTTGTACCAAGCAGTATTAAAGTCAAACCGCATGACGAAAAATTGTTATGATCATAGCTATTGAAGCACAGCATCAAACTGACCATAACTTTTTTATTGCTAAATTTTGTAGGGTACGGATAGCAAAATTAATGTGTGATGCAAAATTAAGCTAACAAATGAATACGCAGATCTTTTTTTTATGAAAGATTTAGATCTATTGAATTAATTTTTGCAAGAAAACCTTCGAACTTCATAGGAAAGTACAATGTTCAGCACAAAAAGTTCATTGCAATTAACAAGACACAATAATACACAGCATCAAAATGAACAAAAATCATATAAACGAAAGAGAAAAAATGCATAATAATTACATCTAAGAGAATAAAGGTCTAAAAAATTATCATTTTACATAAAATTTTAAATAGTTGATTTACAGAAGAATGCGTTTTCGCGTGATTGGACAGAAATTTTTTATGAATACATTCTAAGTGAATGTGTGTGAAACATAAAAAAAAAAAACACAAACCATTGCTGCCCTATTTATAAATTCCTCGTTGAAGTGTTTGAGGTTGTTTAAGAACTTCATATGCCTTGAAGGTGAATATAGTTCTGTTTTATTTGCCTTTACGATATATTTCTCTGTTGGGCTGGATCGAGTCGTCGGGTCTTAAGAAATTCATGTGTCTAAATTTAATTGGAGTCCTAACGTAGAGCTATGCTCGGAGTCCGCACAAAATAATTTTTCCTGAAGAAGAGAGAATAATCTAGGGAGCTTAAAAAGCGTAGAAGTCAAGACAACTAAGAAGAGCCAAAAGAAGTTTATTGTTCGAATTGAGGCTCTCACCTCGCGATGATTGATATTCCATCATTCGAGGCAACTTCTGACTGTGGTTGAGTTTCAAGGCTAATGATGAGCTTGGGATATGGGTGTGCACCCCCCCTTGGATTAATGTGTGAGCAGCAGCAAAAGCTATGCTTTAATCTTATTGGACGGGATGGGCGACAATAATAAATGTTAACAACAACAAAGACTTCACATAAATTGTTCTGGGCCGAATGGACGACACTAAACGTGATGACTTGACAAAATGGATGTCAAATCTTTGCCATTAATGCTTAGACATCCAAGTATTTTGCCATTAACAACAACAGTATGCTTGATAGGTGTTAAGGGTTCGATTTTTCGAAGGCTACACTTTCCCTGCATTTTGCAAGGGTACAAAGCAAGTGATATTGGGCCTCGGAATATCTAGAGTTTAGGGTTTGCTTTCTTTGTTTTCTCATGTTCCCACCACGAATTACGTGAAGAAGCTGTGAATTGAACCTCCCGACTCCAGGAGGCACTTATTTGGAGAAAACTGAAGATTTGGAGAAATTATTCCGTGCGGAGTCCGGATGGTAAAGAGCCGTCCGGATGTGAGTGTATACAGTATTTGCACACACTGTATATAAAAACAAAATTGTGTATAAAATTATACTCAGTGTACATACTGTGTACACTCACATCCAGACGATTCTTTACTGTCCGGACTCCGTACAAAATAATTTCTCGAAGATTTGAGTGTAAACCTTGTTAGGTGGCTTTGCCAGCTTAGCCAGCATCTATACAACCTTGCATATGACCTTTTCTATATCAGTATCAGTAAGATACTCAAGTTCGATTCTGGGATTTTTTTTTGTCGATCACTATTAACATTTGTGGATAGCTGTATGTGATGGTGAGTTGTGCATTGCACTTGGAAACTCTTCAAGATTCAGGGTTCTCACACGAAATATTTGTGTTCTCTAATCCTCGTATATATATGAGATTAGTGAATGGTGTTGTCGAGTCTTGTTAGGGCTGCAAACGAACAAAGCCGAGCCGAGTATGTAAGTGTTTATGTTTGAGTTCATTTATTATCAGCTTGTTCAAGTTTGGTTCATGTATTCGAGCTTTATTGTTTGTGTTCATGTTTGGTTCATTTAAATTGATGTGTGTTCATACTTGATTTATGTTCGGTTCATATTCCGTTTGTTTAGTGCTTATCAAGCAAACAAGCTTTAACGAGCTATAAATGAGCTTTACCTCTAGATGTCTATTAACTTACAAACAAGCTTTATCGAGCCTCCTAACAAACAATTACATCAAACATATTCATGAACATATTTAGCGAATTTTTTTAAACTATCAAACAAGCATGTTCATGAACATATATAATGAGTATTCTTGAGCTATTAAATAAGCAAGTTTATGGACATATATAACTAATTTTTATAATCAAATATTAATTGAGTTTTTATCGAGCTTATTCATGAGTTCTGAATTGAACATGAATCGACCTTTTATCGAGCTTATGACGAGCTTGTTCACTAGCTTTAAATGATGTTATTCATGAACACAAATGAGCCGAACACATTAGTGTTAAAGTTTGTTTATTTTAGGATCGAGTCTTTAAAATATTGTTTAAATTTATTTGTTTAGTTAATTGAACGACGACAAAAAAGCTTTAATCAACCGAGCAACGAGTAGCTCGTCAAACGTTTGGTTCGCTTGCAGCCCTAAGTCTTGTTATTTTCAATTATTAAATATCTTCCTTTTTATTGTTTTTCCATATCAGATAAGTATGATAATTTCTTTATTTAATGACATCTCGTTATATTTTGGTTCGTCATTTTTTTATAGAAAAAAAGTGGGTCAGCGTATTCTCATCAAATTTGATTAAGATGTGTCTTTAAACCATCGGATTTGCTTTAAAATGCATCATACAATATAAGAGAAATTATTTAAAACTTATATTTGATTAATCTCAAAGAAAATCTAATGATAATGATATTCATCCTTTAAAATTTTGGTTGGGAAATCTGAGTTTTTTAGTCATTTTTCTTATTCATTTTTCTTATCCTTTTGACATTTTACCAACAACTCTGATATTTTTGATGCAGGCTTGTTGGCATGGAGATGATGAGATGAAAGGATCAAAGAACATGCTTTGGGCACAGCTTGTAGTTGTTTCTTTTGTATTTAAAGCTGGCAAATAATGAAGATAGGATGTGCAATGGAATCATCAGTTATAATACATATTATTGTGCTTATATGCTTTTGCCTGCTATGAACATACAAGCGTTTACCAGCATTTTGTGCTGGCAAAACTGATTTTTCTGCGTTAAAATTGCTCACATTTCTCTGCTATGAGTGCTGCTATTTCTGTATGGAGATCTCCTTACCTCTTTATAACTGAAATAAAATCCCAAAATTATTTAGATTCACTGCTTCAATGTCTTAAAGATCATTTTCTTCATTTTAAATTGAAATGTTAGATATTTTCATCATACTTAACATTGTGAAATTTCTACATTTTTTATAGCTTTCAGTATGCAGATATGTTCGTGAAATTACCTCTAAAACAAGTCTTAGCTGCTTTGATAAAATAAACAGTTCATTTTTTATTATTATTAAATATTTGAATGTATTTAGATATTAATCATATGAGCTTTAATGGGTACTTAGAGTCCACAATGACTTGAAGGCCTAAATGATAGCAAATATTGTAATCTTCTTTCTTATAAAAGGAAAAGTTTATTGATTAGGAGGCTTGCCTAAATATTAGAAGAATAAAGAAAATCAGGTTCTATGAAGAACTTTCTAGAACCATCCAGCTTGGGCTCCCAAGAAAAAGATTATTAATCAAGGGACTTGCCTAAAATATTAATTTCATGTTTTGTAAAACACCCAAAAAAGGTTTACTTTGTAAGTAGATGCAATTTAGATGATATTTAAAGATGCAAAATCAATTGAACCAGAGAAAAGCTTTTAAAAAAAATATTTGGACATATTTGGTTTCTTAGAGCATCTCCAATTGAAAATCTCATTATTTATTCCAAAATGTTGTGAAACTAAAAAAATGTCGTGATTCATCTCCAATTGAATTCTATTTTTTCCCCTTTCGCAGGTAATGGTCGTCTCTTCTTTCCCGCGGCAAGTTCGGTAGAGACATAAAAATGGCGGAGATGAACAGTGCAACGCCAATATTGGCGTCCCACTGTTCACCCGCAGCTAAATAACGAAAGTTTTGTCGTTCGGCTGGAGCGAGCGAACGGTGTCATTCAGGCATTTGGAGTTCAGTTGGAGATGCCCTTAAAAGAGGATTCACACTCCAATAAAGGAACAACCACTACATAAGATTTAGGTTTGGTTTGGGATAGCTTTTTAACTGTTTCTTAAATCAATTTTTTAGTAAAAAAATATAATTTTTGTACTAAAAAGCTGCTTTAAAAAATAATAAAAAATTATTCCAAACGAAATCTTAGAGGACAAATATAAGCTTACTTCAAAGGATCCTACACAAGAGATTCCTTAGGAAGCAATGAAGAAGGAATAGCCTTTACCATCAAAAATAAAATAATCAAGAAGACACTAGCAAACCAGTGTGTCATTAACCAATGAGCTTAATTATCATAACTCCAAAGATTGAAATATTCAAAAAAAAAAAAAAAAAAAAAAAAGAAGCACAACACCAAGGGAGAACTTAGGAGTTGTTTGGTTGGTTGAAAATTTAATACAATATAAAAGAAATGTAGCATATTTGAAATATTTTAAAGTTATTTGGATGAGTATGAAATAAATGTGGAGAATTATATTTTTTTACTTAGAGTAAAATGAATATAGTGTAAAATATGACTGGTTGTGGCCAATGATGGTGGAAACTAACGATAGTGTCGGTGGTGACGAACGGCGTTAGTTACCGATGGTTGGAGATAGTTGAGAATGAAGGAGGGGGTGGTCGGCAGCGGAGGCTGACAATGGTGGTGGACAACCCTGATGAGTGATGCCATATAATGTATTTCTAATGTATTCAAAAAGCGTCCAAATTTGAGGAATTCTAAATACGCCAATCAAAATTGAACTAGATGATAAATCTCAAATACATCAAAATTTTATACCAAAACTCCAATATTCTTCAAAAAGGTTTCTTTTTTTTTTTTAAATACCTTGCATATTTTTACTTCAAACCAAAACTATATTATTGGCTTAAATAAAGTCGTTGATCATTTTTATTTTATTCCACTAAAATTTGATTAAAATTATATATACATATATGCATACACGAAAGATTTGCTGTGGTCCGATCCCTGCTCGACTTGCAAATTGCCACTCTCTGCTTTTGGCGCCATTTCCTTAAAACCCTTGACGTTTTGTTGGAAAGAAGAAGAGATTAACCCCGTTCCAAATTCCTCATGGCGGAGGCGACCATGGAGATCGACGTCGATGCTCCACCGTCGAGACCCAATAAGGGCAAGTCCCCCTCTGCTTCTGTCGTCAACGGTGTCAAATCCGGTCCGTGGGTGGAGAAGTATCGTCCTCAATCCTTGGCCGATGTCGCTGCTCACCGTGACATTGTTGATACCAGTAACAAGTCTTTCAACTGATCTCTTTCCCTATTTCGGTTTTCTCATATTTTCCTCCTGTTTTTTCCTCGAATGTCTTCCGACCTAACTTTGGCATTTGCGTCGAGGAAGTCGATCGACTGACGAACGAGAACAAGTTGCCGCATCTTCTTCTGTACGGGCCACCTGGGACGGGGAAGACGTCAACGATCCTGGCGCTGGCGCGGAAGCTCTACGGGGGGCAATATCAGAATATGATTCTAGAGTTAAATGCATCTGATGATAGGGGAATTGATGTCGTGCGCCAGCAAATTAAGGATTTTGCTGGTGCGAGGAGCCTTTCCTTTGGGTAAGAATGTGTAAATGCGTTTTCACAGTAGACTTATTCTTCGTTTAGTTTTTGTGGTATGATTAATGATGTCGTTTGATGCATTTATGTTGTAGTTGCATGCTTGTATGGGAAATCACTATTTCTTGTACTGTTTATGCTAGGTTTGAATTTGACAAGATTGTTTTATTTTGGTCTTATTTTTTGAATTAGTTGAGGGGATTTGTAGTTCATAACACGTATTTGGAGAGAGCAAGGGAGATGGAGGTAATTTAATTTTACTTTCTCCTGTACCTTTGACATCCTTCTCTTGGTTTTGTTGAATGGAATATACAATGATTGCCTTTCTCTACGCCTAAATGAAAGATTTCTGCCCATTATTGTCTTTCTGGCAATTAAGGAGTGGACCAAGCCAGTCATCACATTTATTAACTGCTAAGCTCATTCATGCATGAGCTGAAACCTTTACTTAGCTTAAACATGAAGACAATTTTTATAGCATACAGGGTTTTTTAAGCTAAACTTGGTTTATATGTAACATTGCCAACATTCTGAAAAAGTTATTCTTTTTTTAGAAAAAAAAGGTTAAGTATACTTGTCTCATAAAGTTAAATTCTGTAAACATAACCACAAAACTGGGATCGTATGTATTTTCATCTGAAGAAAATACTCATCACAGTGTAGATTAGGTGGATCAGGTAGTTTGCCTGATTTGATTGAATTAGAGTTATGTATTGTTGTTGTTCCTTGATGAAATTGGCAGGATCTACACCCACACACCCACCTGTCAGCATAGGAACTTAAATTTTTTTGGAGAGGATTCTTGCTTAGAATTTTTTTGTTTATAAGTCTCTAGCTAGCATCTACTGGACATCTATCCACATTTTCCTTGCTATTGCTTGAAAGATAATTTATGTTTTAAGCATAGTTTCCCTTGTTGGAGTTGAAACAAATATCAAGGTTCTTGTATTATTGACAAACTTTCAAAATTAATATGAGTTATTCTTTAGATATTGGGCATTTAGTTCCAACAATGTTCATTTTTATTTACCTTTTTTGGGTGATTATTTAAAGTGCTAAACCAATAGCCGAAACATAACTTCATGGATGAAGGGGAGATATTCGAGCTTTTTCTGCATCTCAAACTAATATATGTGAAAGCGCGGCATTATTTGGAGCTGTGGAATGTTGATGGATCTTGAATCTTTATGCTAGTTTTAACAGAAGGCTTGTCCATTATATATTTATCTATATCATTCAGTATGTGTTCTTTCAGAAAGTGAAAGCCATTTATATTTTCATGCAGTGTAAAATTTTCTGTAAAACTGGTGCTGCTGGATGAAGCAGATGCCATGACGAAGGATGCACAGTTTGCATTGCGTAGAGGTATGCCTCCTGAATTATTTTGTTGTTTTTAGGGTCTTACTTATGCCCTCTGCTTAGCTATTGTTGCTTTGGTGCAGTGATTGAAAAACACACGAAGAGCACCAGGTTTGCACTTATCTGCAACCATGTCAATAAAATCATCCCAGCATTGCAGTCAAGATGCACTCGATTTCGGTTTGCTCCACTTGATGCTGCACATATTAAAGAACGACTTCAATATGTAGTGGCTGCTGAGGGGTGCGGTCCTTCATCTTCTTTATAATTGGCTTCGAAAAATATCATGGAATATTCTAAGTGTGTACTGGTATCTTGTTCCCATGGTGCATATTCACTGGTTGATATTACTGTTAATTCACCAATCTAGCAATCTGATTCTGATTTTAAAGAATTCATAATTCAAAATTTTCATGTATTAACTCAACAAAAGTAATGGCTTTGGCTGGCTTTGCCTAACTAGTATCAAAATTCTGGGTTATTGTAAACGGAGTGCCTGTTTCTTCTTATATTGGCAAAGTACAATTGAAAAGCTACTAATTTTCCTTTTTATTTCAAGCTACTCTAGAGTCAATATATTCTCATCATCACTTCATCAGTCTAATTTAATTACGATCTTTTTTATATATTTTTAGGTTCATGCAGGATTTTTATAAGATTAGATTAAGGGAACTTATTTATCTGTGATTGCAAACGGTGAAATTTAAGTTACCTGCTAGACCTCTTATACTTTCTACATGGAATTTATTTCTAGTGCTAGTTTAAGTGCTTGCACCTTCCTGCAATATATTTTGGAGAAACAAAGATGCTTTAGAACTAATATCTACGGAATGCCACTCACTGAAACGATGCTTTCAATAGCCAACATTGCTTCTTGATGTCATTTTGGTTTGTACTACTGGAAACATGTAAAGTTGCTCCTATGGTTTCATCTGTGTAGCATCTTTGAAGACTTTCGTCTAGTGACAAACTTACCAAAATAAATAAATTATATAACTACTTTTTTTCTTCTTTAAGGCTTGACGTCGATGAGAGTGGCTTTGCAGCTTTAGTGCGATTGAGCAATGGTGACATGAGAAAGGCTCTGAACATTTTGCAGGTAATTTTAATTTTTCTCAGAAGATCCATTAAGGTTATTAGCATTCCAATTTATGCGTACCATACATCAAGAACCCCTTTTCTGTGACTATGCTATTAAAATGTATCACATTTTAACACCATTTACCCTTTAGTTCTCTGTACTTCTAAATTCTATCAAACATCTCATCAGAGTTAAGGGTAGAATCAGTGCTTTTACCTGCAAAATAGCAAATTTTATAGATATGCTTTGGGAATACTTTATTTTAGATCAGTAACACTTTGTTTTACAATTAATAGCTTCTTCATAGCCATTTAACTTCTGTTTGACATCTTCTAATCTTTTTTGCATGGTTGCTTGACATCTTCTAATCTTTTTGATGAAGCTTGATGTATTTTATTGTGATTGAAGATATTGGAAACTATACAACATCACTTGTTTTCCTGGGGCTGTTAGTTCCATAGATTCTCCAGATGATGTGGTTATTAATCAGATTAATTATGCCTTTATGAATACCAAATTTAGCATGACCCTCAACATTTTTTTTTTGTTGTAATGAAGGATAATGGTCAGCTTGATCATGGTCTTCACTAAAATTAGGCTTTGATTGATCTTTTATCTCTAATCAATCATATTTTTGAAAATTGTTTTTTGGTGATGTTGGATGTCTAAGGGTTTAGGGTTCATTAATGTAAAATTCAGGATGAGATGCTTTAAAAAACACACAAAATATTATAATTCATGGTTTCTCATCTTTTAATTTAAACAAAAGTTAGTCTTTGCTGACTCAAAAAAAGAAAAATCTAAAAAATACTTTTAAGTAATCAAAGTCTAAAATTCCACAAAAATCAAATAACAATATAAAATTCTACAGTGACAAATATACATATCATAAAATAAAATTTAATATGTAATTAACTTGATAAAATTTCAACTACAAATACAAATCAATCATCAAATAAGTTAGAAAAAAGAACAATAATAGAAATTTTTAGTTGTAAGATCTAGGTCTCATGCTGGTATAAGGAGAGTCATCCCCTATTAGTTGTCGTTAAGACTTGCAAGTATTTGAAGAATCTATATCCAACAACATACATTTGAATTAAGAAGAATTATATATTTTATCCAACCATTCAATCATTCAATGAGTTTTATTTATAATCCAAAATATTCAAAATTATTAGCTTCGTAGAATCAATTAAGATATGTTCAAATACTACTTGTTTCTATGTCAGCATGCTTAGATTTCATGAAGACAGTAGTTTTCAATCCCAAGCAATCAACTTCAAGACCAAACAATAACTCACGTCCTTAAAGGCAGCAGCTAAATATTGCTACAGTCAATAGGCCGAACGAAAAAGAAATCAGCAGTAGGGAGTATATTGTTTAGGTGGCAGAGAATCACATAGTAGTGAAAACCAGCGACACCTGCCAAAGAAAAATAGAATACATATAATTAGGAACGCATGAATTCACCTAGCTGTCTCCCATTAAGAACCACAAGACACGAACATTCTTTTGAGCTAAATGTTGATTCAGAAAGGGAAAACAAAAAGGGCAGCAATGGTAACATCAACAACGTACGCTAACTCAGAGGTTGGCAGGGAATATGGAATCAAAAGTGTTGACTAGGGAATCTGATTAGAGTTTAAGCGAAACAATTGTAGCGGTAATCAAACATATCAATGTAATCCAAATACTATAGAATATATAACAGGCACCAGCCTATGTTACATTCAAATTCAAAATTAGAAAACTTAAACATAAAACATAAAGTCAACTAAAATAACATCGATGCATATGATTTGCATATCCAATGTTCCCTACACTCACCAAATGACAAATGTTGCTCTTTTAAGTTCATACTTTATATCAGCCCACGCAGGCTTAATTTCTCTTGTAGTACCTTGCCAAAATGATTAATAATAGCTCACGAGCTTTGATTTAATGCATTAAAGTCTTTCATAATCAAAGAGGTAGTCATATTCATTAAAGTATTTAAGATCATCTATCCTTCTTGAAAATTCATCATGATTATACTTTCCATCAAATGTAGGAATGTAAATTTAATCCTCATGATACTGGAAGTGTGTTCATTTAGAATCATAACATACCCAATTTTGTTTAAAATTCATCCCTTATTAATGATTTGAATTACCCATTCTATATGTTATATTTTTAGTTGATGTGGTGATGCAATCATAACATATTATACCAATTTGATATAGTAAGTCTTAGAGTCCAGGATTCAGTAATGCAACCTTAAAATGAAACGCGTCACAAACATATAAAATTTCACAACAATTTTTCAACTTTTAATTTAAGCAAAGATCAAATTTTTTAGTTCAAAATTAGATAACACCATTCATTCATTTCAAACAATAATTTAAATTTGCCAAAATTTGAAATTCTGAAAAAACAACTAAGAAAAAAATATTAAATTTTGCAATTTTTAATACTCGCTGTATAAAATGAACACTGGTATGTAACAAACTTGGCAAAATCTCAATTACTAAACAATTTAAAAGAAATAACGAGGATAGAAATTACTAATTCAAAGATGCATGCTATACGTTATTACAAGGAGAATTGCCCCCATGAATTTATCTTTGAGATTTGCAAGCATTCAAAGAATACACGTCCACAAAACAAAAAATATTTAATTTTACAACCGTTAAGATTCATACATTAAAACAAAAACATGCATGTATTTAATTACCAAATAATTCGAAAGAATTAGGAAGGATATGAATTACCAATTCGAAGATCCAGGTTGTATGCTATTACAAGGAGAATTGCTCCCAAGTCATCTTCAAGATTTGTATGAACTTAAAGAATCCATATCGAACAATACACAAGAATTAAAAAATATATATAGATTTTATTCAATCATTCAAATAATTTTATATGCCTGAGAAGTAGTTAAGAAGACCCAAAGTTAGCAACTTCTTAGAATCCATCAAAATTTTATCAAATACCACCCGTTTTGTTGTCAACATCAATTTCCAAACCAAACAACAGCTCTTGGCCCAAAGGAATAAACAGTTGGATTTTGCTATAGTAATAGCATTAAAGGAAATCAGCGGCAGGGAACTTGTGTTTCAGGTGGCAGAGAATTGGATAAGGGAAGCAATCAGGAACATGAGAAGCCAGCTAGCTGTTGACTCCAATGTTTAAAATTGCATATTCGGGTATTGAGGCGTTTTTCATTCGTGAGGCGAGGCGTAAGCCTCGAGGCGTTTTGAGGCGTAAGCCTCAAAATCAAAAGATTGTGTAACATAAAATGATAAATTTTTTATATACTAATGAGTGAATAATATATAAAAAAAGCATAAGATATTAAGTGAGGCGGGCCTCAACCAAGTTGAGGCGCAAGCCTCATAAAAAAAACTTGAGGCGTAAGCATCGAGGCGTTTTTTAGTGGAATTGCGCAAAGGCGGGCCTCATATTGCGCAATTTTAAACCATGGTTGACTCCCATCAAGAAGTGCAAGATAACCATGCTTTTGAGTTTCAATCCCAATCTGGAAAGGGAAAACAAACAGAGCAGCAACAGTAACATCACACACACCAAATTAAAGGTTGGAAGGAATCATCCTATCGGTGCTTACTGGAGAAACCTACCAGACCTAAATCAAAACACTTCCATGAAGAGGTCATGGTATCAATTAATTGTTAAATTTCTCAATTATTGACATAGTGGATGTGCCTTTTCTTTCCTTCTAGGTTGAAACAGGATTACAATATGCATGTTGCTGCAATTAACTGATTATTTTATGATTTTCATTCTTAATATGATACATGTCATTTGTCTGCTTTAATATGCACAGTCAACGCAAATGGCTTATCAACGTGTAACAGAAGAAGCTGTTTACCTATGTACTGGAAATCCAATGCCCAAAGACATCGAGCAGATTGCCTATTGGCTCTTGAATGAACCATTCACAGCCAGCTTTAGATGTACGCTACCACAAGGCTGCCATTCCTTTTTTTTTAGTCTTTCTACTGTTTGAAATTATTGACTAATAGTCAATTCTTGCTGCTGCAGATATATCTGATATCAAAATGAGAAAAGGGCTTGCCTTGGTAGACATTATTAGAGAGGTTACTATGTAAGTAAAAGTTCTATAAATCATATCAATGTACAACTGTTTTTTTTTTTTTTGTCATTGTTAGTACCATATATACTTGATAAATTCCTTTTTGCAGGTTTGTTTTCAAGATCCATATGTCCTCAGATATTCGAATCAAGCTCATCAATGACTTGGCTGATATTGAGTGTGTAACTCCTTCCATTCTTTATGTGTATTAATTAGTTTCATTAAAATGCGTTTCCTTCAATGCCGGTAACTAAATAGGAAAGTAGAACTTTCCATATTATGTAATCATCTGAGGCTTCGTTTGAGACGACTTTTTTATTGCATTTTAAAATAACTTTCTAGTACAAAAATTTTAATTTTTGTACTTGAAAACTGTTTTAAGAAGTAAGAAGAAAGCCGTCCCAAACGAAGCCTGAATCAGCGTCAAATTTTAATTTATACTGCCATCAAAATGTGCACTGAGATTTAAAATATTTTCTCATGTTTTCTGTTGACCGTGCAGGTACAGGTTGAGCTTTGGATGCAATGACAAACTACAACTAGGGGCGCTTATCTCCACTTTCACAAATGCACGCTGTGCCCTTGTTGCTGCAGCCAACTGATCTCTCTGTATCTTTCAATGAGTCTTAGGAAAGCCATTAACTCTTTGTCCGATTGAAACACAATTCTATCTTATTATAATATTATCTGAGAGCATTATTTGCTTATGCAGGTCCTTTTTATTTAAGGTTGTTAGTGTGTGGCCAGTCATTCTGAAATTCTTCAGGGAAAACTCATAGAAGATGCCTAATTATTTCTTGTTCAGGACTTCAGGTACTGTTGAAAATTATGTAGGTTAGTGACAACCCGCTTATTTCAGAGAAATGATAACTGGATTTCAGTTAGCTGGATCGTAATATCTTATTAAAATATCATGTGAAAGCATTGGTCAAAAGGTTTTTGAAGCTTCAATGCCTTTTCTAAGGACTATAAGCTTGGGGCTTATAAGCTGCAAGTTTAAACAGTTAGCATCTGTTATGTGTTGTGCAAATTTAATAACAATTTTGGATAACATATAGAATGTGTCACAGTTCATGACATGTTAGTATCCTTCAATACTCTTTTTTGGTTAGAGTGCCAAAACAAATAGAAATTAGAAAACTAGCAATTATAGGTGTAAACTAAGATTTCGTTTGGGACAACTTTTTCGTTGCTTTCTAAAGGAACCTTTAGTACAAAAAATTATAATTCAAGAAAATTTTTAACTAAAACATTATTTTAAAAAGCATTAAGAAAGCTATCCCAAACGAACCCTAAGTCTAAGTCTTAGCTCGGGAGCTAGATTGAGTCAAATTTAGACTCGCTTTGACTCTAATCAGCTTGTGGGAGCTACTAATTAAAAAAAAAGGTTAATTAATATAATTAACTATTTTAAATTATAGAAGAATGTTATTAGAAATATTAAAAATGCTTTATTTTTTATCTTAAGAATATTTATGTTATTTTTCATTTATTTTTTTATTATTTTATTATAATAGTTGTCCAAATTGAATCGTTTCTTTTTTAATAAATTAGAGCATTTTTTTAATAACTTAATAAAAAAAATTTGGCTTCAAATTTTTTTACATTTTTCGAAATTTGGTTGATATTATTGTAATATACTTTAATGGTAATTTTATAAATCGATAAAATTAATATTACATGCAATTGCCCTCTTGAGTATCTATGATAGATTCCAACATAATAAATAAGACAACATTATTAGTTTTTTTTTTTTTTTAAGGTTTCATTATAAGTTTGGCTAAAGTGGGTTTAATAAATTTTCCCGATAATTGAGTGTTTCACATCCGAATTTCAGCTAAAAATCTTAAAATTAATCAAAAACAAAAATAATTAGCTGTTAAAAAGCAAGGGATGGAGGTTCTATTCAACAATTCATATTCTCTATATGAATTGCCCTAAACCAATTAAAACTACAAACTACATAATAAATGTACACGAAATCCTCAATGGAATCACACCTTATTTCCAAAACACTAACATTTAAATACAGAAATGAAAATGCGAGCACAAAGACTCATTGATTACTAGTTAAAAGTGACCTAATATCCGTATTTTGACTTCGTTTGAGACGGTTTTCTTACTGCTTCTTGAAATAATTTTTTAGTACAACAATTTTAATTTTTGTACTATAAAATCGCTTTAAGAAGCAGTAAGAAAATTTACCAAACGAAACCTTAAATATAGAAATTAATCAGTTTTGCTTAGGCTTGATCATCAGGCAGCTGGCAGACGATGGAATGCTCTGGTTTGTGATAACATTGGAAGTCAAGATGCACAAAGGCTCGCTCTACTTCTGGCAGTTCCTCAATCTTTATCTGCAGGGATTCTCCTATGGCATGAGCTTCTTTCAAAGGCAGCTCTTCATCCAGTTCAATGTCGACCTTAAACCATGGATCCAATAAGAGTTTTCATATTCATTTGCATTAGCAGTTGAACAGTCATTCAACAAACTCCTCAGCATAAAGTGAAGTTAATTAGTCTAAATTTTCTAGTTCAAAAGTTTCTTGAAAGCAGCAAAAAAGCTACTGTAAAAAGATGTCGTCTTAGGCTTCGTTTGGGACTGCTTTCTTACTGTTTTTTAAAGCAGCTTTTTAGTACATTACAATAATTTTTTTAACTTTTTTTTTAACTAAAAAGTTGCTTTAAAAAGCAATAAGAAAGCTGCCCCAAACGAAGCCTTAGATAGGCTCGTAAAGCACTTTTGGTGTGGTTAGTGTCCTGCGAATTCATAAGAAAAAATAATAAAACTATGAAATTTAGCATGATATAGGATGGGTAGGGCCAAAGTGGATAATAACTATGGCCTCTGCATCACACATATAGTTGTGGGAAGCTATTTATCCAGACCATTAAGCCTCCCAGGCCTTTTAAGTTTTGCTAGTTCCATTTATCTATTTCTTATTGGACGAAATTTCAATTAAAAAAAGAAACTCTCCCTACTTTCAGAATGTTTGTAATAAAAGGCTCACAAACAAAATGATGGCAATCTGCATGTATAGTCATGAGTTCCTATTTGTAGTGAGAAAGTATAGAATTAAGCTGTGACTTTGTAACATATATGTTAACTAACCTCCACAAAGTAGAGAACTCCAAAAGTATAAGCTCGGACTGTGCCAACCCGCTTGATTTGGGGATCATGCCTTATCACAAGGTATGTCAACTTCTGCAGCATTTCAGGCGGCGCAGATTGACCCACCAGTGAAACTGCACCAGAAATCGCAAACTGTTCACCTCTATTATCTCAAAAAGGCCCGTAAAATGTTGCATTTGGTGTATCATCAAGAAAAGGAGAGATTATTCTGTGCGGACACCGGACAGGAGAACCTTCTGGTACCGCTTGGTACCGAATGCGGTACGAGTGGTACCGCTCGGTACCGAGTGCGGTACACTTTTGGGGTGATGTGTCATATTTTTATTGGTCTCTGGCCGACGTGCGGACTCCGCACAAAATAATTTGTCCAAAAAAGGGGAGAGCAGGGGAAGTATTTTCGCGCGTTCTTTTTGCTCAAAATGAAATAAAATTAGCCAACTTGTTTTGGTTTGTGAACATTGAAGGCAAGTTAGAGGCTTTTAGAACTACTGAATATTGCAGAAAAAACTTAGACAAACCAAAACTAAGAAAGTTGCTCTTGAGCTCTTCAAGAATCTTGCATCAAGAATTAGAAAAAGAACATATACTTCAGGAAGTGAAAGGGATTAAAAAGCAGCAGCTACGCAACATGGATTCTTAGAAAAGGACATGAAATAAAAAATGGAAAAAAACCAAGTATGAGAACAGTTGAGGGGAAGAACCTGCATTTTCCATTACGGTTCCACACCAATTAGAAATTGTGTAGATTGCAAGGATGATAGCCCCAATAGGATCAATCCACCAGTAGAATTTATCACCAAGAACAGCAGCAACTAGGCCCACAACATTGGTTATGACATCAAAGTAATGGTCCTGAATTTCACACATAGTAACAAACGGATCAATCTATGTTAAGTTGGGAAATTTCAATTCTAAATAAAAAAAGAAACCACCTTGGCATAAGCGCGAACAATTTTGTTTCCTGAAGTTCTGCAGTAAAGCCAGAGAGCAAGTTTTACAAGACTAGCAAACAGCATTATTCCATACAACCACCATAGCTGCTCGGAACTCAACTTTTCAGGAGGTTTATTTGCTATCAGTTTCTCAAGTGCCTGAATCAAAACCTGAAATCCTGAACATAGTAGGAGACTGTTGATTCTTAAATACTTTTTAAGCTTAAAGTTGCATTTCTTACCGAAGGAAATTAATGAATTTTATGGAAGAAGGCAGTTCATTAAATTAACAGAGTACAAATTTTACTCTTTATTTAGGAGCAGTGTGATATGCCTTGGAAGTAAAAAAAACAGCAACCCAATCAATAGAAAACTGCATGAATGCTCAAAATAGTGGCTGATTATTATTTCTGCAATATGAAAGCAAGATACAGGTGATGTACTATTAGAGAGATAGATCATCTCTCCCACAAGACTTAGACGTCGCTAGGAACTCACAACAAAACACCAAGAACATAAAACTTAGCAATAATACACCCTAATCCCTAGAAAACTCCCCCTTAAATAGCCCTAGAACATAAAATCATAAATAGAACATTCCTAAACAAGTAAACATAATTTATGAAAACTTCATAAATAATTTATGAAAACTTAATAAATAATTTATGAAACCTTCCTAAATACCATCATATTCATAGTTTGCTTGAAGAAGATTCTTTACAATTAGTTAGAATCAAGGGAAAAGAAAATCTCATTGATGTGCTCACAAAAGTGGCACCAGAATACCAACAGAAAAGTTGAGGCTTTATAAAGCCTCAATTAACCTTTGTGAAAGATGATTTGGAGGTGTCGCATAAAAACACTTAACACAAACCGTTAAGCAGGTACAATAAAAATTTCTATCTCCAAGGCTTCGTTTGGGACAGCTTTTCTATTGCTTCGTAAAGCATTTTTTAGTACAAAAAAATTAAAATTTTTGTACTAAAAAGTTGTTTTACGAAGCAATAAGAAAGTCGTCCCAAATGAAGCCTAAGTGAGATGAACATTAAAGAGTCAAACTTTTCTCCCATTAAATCTCTACAATATATGATTGAGATCTACTATCAATTGCAGATATTAGATTGAGACTTATAAATATATTGTTAAATCCTTTTTTTGGATTATGAGATATTTTGTTGACTTTAGAAGATCTTGTAAAATTTTGTAACTAATTCTATGTTTTGAAACCCATGACTTATTACAACTACAAATAAAGCTTTAGAAGAAGAGGTTTAATATCTCATAGAAGCAAAGAAAGCAAAAAGAAAAGGGAGTGAGGAGGACCAGGCTCTCTTATTGAACAAAGAAAAGAAGAAAGGGACTTTAGGCTGCTTCCATCCAATAACATAGCAACATGAATCTGGCGTGTGTGATGTGTCTTACCCCATGGAGAGGAAAAAATCTACGAATTTACTTCCTAACTCTAGTCCTTTACTCTTATAGAACTAGTTTTTCTTCTCTCACTATTCAGCATCAACGAAGGCCTCCCGATGACGTGAAAAGGTTGGAGTAGCTCCAGTGGAAGATAAGATTAGAGAGAGTCGCCTTAGATGGTTTGGTCACATTAAACGAAGGCCTCCCGATGACCCGGTTAGGAAAGTTGAGGTATTAGATTTGACTTATGTTAAGAAAGATAGAAGCAGACCTAAAAAGACTTGGTTAGAAAATATTAGAAATGATCTTTCTTTATTAGATTTAAATGAGAATTTGACTTTTAATCGAATACAATGGCGAAAAAGGATTCATATAGCCGACCCCACATAGTGGGACAAAGGCTTGATGTTGTTGTTGTTGTTGTTGTTGTTGTTGTACTATTCAGCATCAACTACAAAAGGTGGAGTTAACCTCCGCATGTATTCCATAATTGATTTGAGCACGTGTGGCAACAACGACAACCAACTAATGCTACCCCATCGCCTACATCTCCCTAGCCCTCTCTCTCATTTGACCAATACTTACCCAAATCTTAAAGCCCATCCCAATTTCCTCCTTCCCATTTCACCTCAAATTATTGACTCCTTACCTACAACCACAAAACATGCCCCGTCACCCAACTCTCCTATGCAAACTAGCCGCCGATTGTACACCTCTCCTCCTCCACTCCTGTCGGCCAGCTGCCTGCAACTCTTGTCTCTCTAAATACTGTATTAATAGCTATTATATGTTTGATACTTAGTGCATATTTAATGAATAGCCTATATCGAAAGTTCTCTCTCGTCAGCAGGACGAGTAATTAACTATAGGGGTTTGCGCCTATGAGAAACCTAGAATCATATCACTAAATCCTCACAAAATGAGGGTGAAATCTTTGGGTGATTTTTTATCTTAAAATATAATCTGCCTTCAAAAAATTTAACCTGAAATAATCTGTAAATTTTTTAAGCCCACAATTGTATGAGGACTTCTTCAATAATGCAATTTCACGAAATGATAACTCTAAATTATATTTAGGTATGAAGAGAAATTATTGATGAACCTCTTCTGAAATTTTATGGAATTATCTTATCTCCTTGCAACTATGGATATAGGTGGATCTCATTTAACCATGTAAAATTTATGTGTCTTGTGTTTGCAATATCAGATGTGTTTGTTCTCTCATTTTCATTTTGCCTTTGCTCTAAGATTTATTGCTGCCCTACCACGAAGTACAATATTGTGATAAATATCTATGTCTAATAGAACCAAAGCATATGCTTATAAGCTACTTAGTTCCAACATTGAACATGAACATGTCATCCGCATTATAGTCAAAAGAACATAACAGATTAATAAATTTCATACCAGAAAGAAGATGAATACCTAAAGTTGCCATGACAGCTGCAAATACAACTATACCCACTGGTTGCATACGTAATTTTCCAATGGGGTACTGATAGATGTTCACTTTCTTCATTGACAAATGTGTAAACCATAGAATTCCACCTGCGATGAGATCCAACAAAGAGTCAAGTGTCGATGCGGCGATAGCGATAGATCCACTTCTTATAGTAGCATAGATCTGAAAAATATGTTTCGTTAGTTTTACTGAAGATTCATTTCTCCTTTTTTTTTCAGTGTTGTGTAGTCACCGCAGAAAATATTTAATCATGCTAGAAGAATGAATACCTTTAATAACAGGAGAATTAAGTTTGCATAGTTGGAAATTTTTATAGCCAATTCACTCTGGTTTTGATCTGCATTTTCTTGATCTTCTTGATCATTGTCACCGTTAGCGGACTCATTCAAGGAGTCAACCTCTTCGAAAGATTTGAGAGTAGCAAATTGCTTTTCATAGTATTCTTTTTCACCTGGGTAAGAAAAACATAATGATACTAAACATTTCTTATAATTCAATGCATTTATAATGATAATTGCATGTTTACTGACAGCTGCACATATCCACATACTGGTTCAGATGCATCACAGCCATATATAGATTCCAACAATGTTTAAAACAGTATAATTTAATTCAGAGGGAATAAAAAATATCAGCAGTTGATAAGAATATCCCCGTCGATGATTTATTCATGACTAGAGTCTTTATTGAACCTTACATTAGTTATGAGTGGAATTTGATTGTGTTGATCAATTGGGTTGTACTGTTCCCACGGACCTCAACTCAATTTATTGTGTTCGTTGGGGTGTGAAAGGGTCCTCTCACTACTTGGGTTCAGGTTCTTTGAACTAAAAAAAAAAAATTCGTACAACACCCCGATGATGTGTACCCGAGCACCCTGGCGCTACAAAGTTTGCTGGGAGAAACGACAAAGAGCAGAGCGCCAGAGTGCTCTAGATTTGGCTCAGCAGCTCTGCGGGTTTGAGCATCGAAACATCATCAGACGAAATGGGATCAGAGATTTGAGTGATGCAGCTCTCCAAACTAGCGCTATAGTGCTTCGAGGAGGACTAAACAGTTTTCTTTCTTGTTTTTTCTCAAGGGTGGCATCTCTGTGGTATATCGAGGCTTTTCTCTTTTGTTTAGAGTGTGAGAAAAGGGCGTAAGTGAGAAGAGAAGCAAGGAGAGAGCGAGAGAGAAGAGATATTTGAACTTATTTCTCCTAATTTTTATAGTGAATTTCTTGGTGTGGTGTGGTTCCGTGGTTTTGTTCTAATTTTAGATTTTTCCACATTAAATCTTGGTGTTTTTTTATTTCTGCTTCTTTTACTTTCTTTTTTATTTTATTATGTGGTTTACTTTCACATCCTCAACAATTAGTATCAGAGCGAGGTTGTTCAGTTCGAGTGGGAGTAATGGCTGACGAAGCAAGATACAAGATTAAGAAGTTCAACGATTCAAACTTTGCATTCTAAAGGATGCAACTTAAAGATTTGTTGTATCAAAAGAAGTTGTATTTACAGTTAGAAGGAATCACAAAGAAGCCATACTCCATGACTATGGAAGAGTGGGAGGTTCTTGACCGGACTGCGCTTTTAATTTAAACGACTTTCACTTTCCTTATCTGTTACATTCAACATTATAAATGAAAAGACTACAGTCGATTTTATGGCCCCACTGATTAAGATATATGAGAAGCCATTGGCCTCAAACAAAGTGTTCTTGATAAAAAAAAATATTTAATATGAAGGTATTGGGCATCACTACAATGGCAGAGCACTTGAATAATCTGAATACTATGATGAGCCAGTTATATTCAGTTGACATCAAATTTGATGATGAGGTGAGAGATGAGGTGAGAGCATTGCTGCTATTATTTTCATTGCTAGAATGATGGGATAGACTTATTATTGCTGTGAGTAACTCTTCAGAAAGTTCAAAGCTAAAATTTGAGGACATTATGGGGTTAATGCTTAATGAAGAGTTTCGCAAGAGGATAAATTCGCAAGAGGATAAATGATGAATCTTCTGAATGTTGAAGCAAGATGAAGGGATTTAGAGAGAAATTTTAGTAGAGGGAGATCTAAATCAAAGAGAGGAACGTCTACTTCATGTGGAGGAAAGGATGCGTGCTGGAGTTGTGAAGGGTTATTTGAAGGACTGCATAATTCTAAAGAAGGCTAGTGGTGGGGGTCAAGAACAAAATCACTCTACAAATGTATCTGCAGAAAAGTATCAATATGATTTTCTGATTTTATCTCTGGACAATTCTAAATCTTGGGTTATAGATCCAAGTGCTTCTTTTCATGCAAATTTTAATAATGAGACATTCAAGAATTATACTAAATGTGATTTGAGTAAAGTGTATATGGGAGACAACAAGCCCCATAGCATTGTTAGAGATGTTGATATCAAAATATAAGATGGGTTAATTTGGAGACTCAAGAATGTTAGGCACGTTCCCTGTTTAAAGAGAAGTTTATTTTCAGTGAGTTAACATGCAAACTCATGCCATGTGACATCATTCACAAGAGATTCATAGAAGGTGACAAAAGGAGCTATGGTTATAGCTCGTGGCAGCATTGAATGTACCCTGTATGCTATCAAAAAAAGATCAAATTCTATTGGAGTAGCTGATTTAAATGTTGATAGAGGTCTTTGGCATCGAAGGCTTGGCCATATGAGTAAGAAAGGTATGCATTCACTTCTTACTAGAGGAAAGCTTCATGGTTTAAAATTTATAAATTTAAATTTTAGTGAAAATTGTGTATATGACAAGTAACATAGGATGAATTTTTTAAATACTTGTTTAAAAGTCAAGTCAAAGAAGCTGGACTTAGTGAATACTAATGTATGGGGTCCTACTCCAGTTACTTCTATAGCAGGATTATTGTATTTTATTATTTTTATTGATGATAACAGTAGAAAGGTATGGGTGTGCTTAAAAGAACATCAGATGTATTTCATATTTTAAGTGAAAGGTCATGATTGAGAATGAGACAGGTTTAAAACTCAAGTGTCTCAGATCAAATAATGGTGGCAAGTATCATGATAAAAAGTTCAAGGAGTGTTGTACTTTGAATGGGATCAGGCATAAGTTCATTGTTTTAAGAACACAATAGAAAAATGGTGTTGTGAAACACATGAATAGAACTATCACTGAGCATGCCAAGAGCATGAGATTACATGCTGATCTACCCAAGCATTTTTGGGCAGATGCAATGAATACTGCAGTTTATATGATCTATCATGATCCTTCAGTTTTCTCTAAATGATGGGTTACCTAAGGAAGTCAGGAGTGAAAAAAAAGTAAGTTTATCTCACCTCAAAGTTTTAGTTGTTTATCCTATATTCATATTGATGCGGGATCTAGGAATAAGCTTGATCCAAAAAATCTATCAAGTATGCATTTAATGGATATGGCTCAAATGAATTGTGCTATAAATTCTGGGATTATCAAAATCAGAAATTCATTAGGAGCAGGGATGTCAAATTCAATGAAAATGAAATATACAATGATATAATGGGACTCCTAAAGATTCATGCAAATATGTTAAGATAGAGAATGTTGATGATGATCAAGAAAACAAATTTGATGAAGTACATAGAGTACCTCAGACTCCTGCTACTAAAATTAAGAGATCCACCATAATCTCAAAGCTAGTAGAAAAGTATTCTCCTTCATTGTATTATATGTTGTTGACAGATAGTGGTGAATCTGAGATCATTCAAGTTGATGATTCAAAGAAGTTACAGCAATACATGGATGATGAGATGCATTCAATTGAGTTGAATCAGACTTGGGAGTTGATAAAGCTAGGGCTGTCAATTCGTGTTGGCGAGTCGTGTTCGGGTCAGACCCGAATTTGACCCTGCTGTATCTAACCCGACCTGAAACAAGTATCGGGTCAATTCTTTGGACCCAAACCCGACCCGGATCGGGTTCGGGTCAACATGACCCGACACGAAATTTTAAAAATAGCGGGTTCCAGACACGAAGTAGCGGCAGCACAGTGGCGACATAGCCGCAGGTGGGAGCAGCGGCAGTGGCACAGCAGCGGCAACAGCGGTGCCGCATGGCACAACCGCAGTGCCAGTCGGTCAAGGCGGCGCGGAAGCAGCGGCAGGCGGCAACGGAGGCAACACGCAAACATCGAGACTCATGATTCGCGAAGCGATGCAGCGCCAGTCGCCAGAGCCAAACTGCCAGTGATGCGATTGGGACTACGACTCGACGCATCGGGTCATTTTGCGAGCAGGGCAACAGAAACGGGCAGACTCATTTCCGTGTCATTATCGGGTTTCCAGGTCAACCCGAACCCGACCCGTAACGCAAATCGTGTTAGTTTTTCTAACCCAAACTTGACCCGTTTGCTAACCGAGTCGACCTGAACCCGGATGTTTCCGGGTCGGGTTCAGGTCGTGTCAAAAATTGACACCCCTAGATAAAGCTACCAAGTGGCAAGAGAGTACTGCAAAGTAAGTGGATTTACAGGCTAAAAGAACTTGATGGTAGCAAATGCTACAAGGCTAAGCTTATAGTTAAAGGTTTTCAACATAAGAAAGGAGTGGACTTCACTAAAATTTTCTCTCAAGCGGTGATGATGACTACAATCAGAGTTATACTGAGCATGGTAGTAGTGGAGGATTTACATATGAAACAGATGGATATAAAGACAACATTTATGCATGGTGACCTTGAAGAAGAGTTGTACATGGTGCAACCTCAAGGATATGAGGTCAAAGGTAATGAATATTTGGTGTGTAGGCTTAGGAGGAGCTTATATAGGCTGAAGCAAGCATCAAGATAGTGATAGAAGAAATTTGACAGGTTTATGTTAGATAATGGGTACATTAAGTACCAGGTAGATCACTATTATTTTTTTAAACATTTTGATAGCATATTTTTCTGCTTTTATATGTGGATGATATGCTGGTTGGAAGGTCAGATATGAAGAAGATAAAATGTTTGAAAGAATAATTAGCAAAAAGTTTGAAATGAAAGATTTGGGTCCAACAAACAAAATTCTTGGTATAAGAATCAACATGGATAGAAGTGCAGGCATACTGAAGTTGTCTCAAGCTAAATATGTTGAAAAGGTGTTTCAAAAATTCAACATGAGAGAGACAAAGTCAATTTGCACTCCCTTGGATAGTCACTTTCAACTATTCAAGGAATAATCGTTTAAATCTAAAGTAGAGCAAGTACAGATGGAGAGGACTCCATATGCTTCAACAGTTGGAAGTTTTGATATAGCTTATGCAGTGGGAGTAGTCAGCAGATTTAAGAGTAACCTAAGCAAACTTCATTGGGAGGCAGTTAAGTATATTCTCAGGTACTTAAGAGGATCAATTAACAAAGCACTTTTGCTATAGAGGTGCAGAGATTGATCTACAGGGATATGTATATTCTGATCTTTCTGGAGGTCTTAATGATAGAATGAGCAAAACAAGTTATATCTTCACTTTGAAAAAGACTGCAGTGAGTTGAGTTTTTAAGTTACAGAAGATTGTTGTGTTCTCAACCACATAAGCTGATTATATTGCTATCATTAAGGCAAGCAAGGAGATGATTTGGTTGCAAAGTTTCTTGACAAAACTTAGCAAGGGGCAAAGGAATGGGAAGTTGCATAGTGACAACATGAGTGTTATTCATCTAGCCAAGAATGTTGCATTCCATGCCAAAGCGAAGTATATTCAACTTAGATATCATTTCATTAGTCATTTTTTGAAGATGGTTAGTTATCTTTGGAGAAGATACACACAACCCGAAATCCTACAGACATACTAACGAAGATGGCGACAGATGATAAACTGAAGCTATGTATAACTTCAGTTGGCCTTCATGGAGGATGAGAGTAGGGGTTTGTCGCACTATAGGCACTATAATTGGTGTTACAGATTGGAAGAAAGATTGATTGCAATAGGTTTTTAAGTGGGAGATTATTAGTTTTGTGTGGAATCTGATTGTGTTAATCAATCGGTTTGTACTGTTGCCACGGACCTCAATTGAATTTGTCGTGTTCGCTGGGTGGTTTGGGGGATCCTCCCCTTGCTTAGGTTCAAGTGCTTTGCACCAGAAATAAAGTTTTTTCATATAACGCCTCAGTGTTGTATACCCGAGCATCCCAGCGCTGCAAAGTTTGCTGGAAGGAACTACATATAGTGGAGCATCGCTGTGCTCTAGATTCGGCGTCACAACACTGTGTAGTGCGGCAGCGCTACGGTTTTGAGCTCCACAACATCGTCAGACGGGTCGATATAAGAGGTTTTGAGTGCTGCAGCGCTCCAAAATGGTGTCCCTTGGCAGTATATAGAGGCTTTTCTCTTTAGTTTAGTACTTTAGTGTATAAGAACGGTGTAAGTAAGAAACGAAGCAAGGAGAGAGAGAAGAAAGATTTGTACTTATTTCTCCCAATTTTCATATTAGATTTCTTGGTGCATTTTGACTCCGTGTTTTTTTTCCGAATTCAGGTTTTTCCATGTTAAATCCTAGTGTCCTTTTATTTCAGCTGCTTTTACTTTCTTGTTTTTTCATTGTGTGGTTTACTTTCACATCCCCAACATACATAACATCGCAGCATCAGTCATTTGAAAAAGCTAAAAGAAAATAACTTGAACGTAATGCTGCACTCCCCAAAACAAACCTATAGTCAGATCAATTACATGTCACTGCCAATATGGCCATCATTTATTCAATTGAATCCCCCAATCTCTGCACTATCAGATGAGAACATTATTGAAATGCCATTATGTGCAGCATTAAGCAACATATTTTTTATGATGATATTTCAAGATGAATTGATCATGCATTCCACGTGCCAAAATTTAGAATTTTAATACCAAACTCAAGGTGTGGTAACATATATAAAACCTTAGGCAGTGAGCATCCACAAGCATCATCTTTTATCCTTTGAAGAGCAAAAGACCAAGAAGAAAGAACAATAGTAAAAAGAGGAGAAAATGGAGAGACAACAAGCCCAACCACTCGATGAAAAAGAAAATGAAAAAAAAAAAGGTTGCTCTGTTGTCTTACAATGTATATATTATTAAAATTTCATAACAATTTATTAATTATAGAAAAATTGAAAGAACAGATTTCGAGTGTAAATAAGAAGAGAAAAAAAAAAGGCAAAAGCTGGAAAGAAAACAAATTGAAAGAAAAACAGACCAAATGTAGAAAAAAATCCAATCTGCAAAAGAACCTAATTCTGCAATGCCTCGCTCTCGTTCTTCATAAAATAGGTTTTTTTTCCCTGATAGAAAAGCTATGATCGCTAGCTTATAAAACTCTTCTTCCACTCAAAAATCAGTAAAATTATTTTACCGAGAGAGATCGAGAGAGAGATAGCGAGAGAGACCTGCACTTAAAGCTTCTGTTCTTGAAATGTCGAATCGAGAAGGGTCCTCAGTATCGACGGCGGACCGAACCTTGGCGGGAAGCCTCGAAAGGAACTCTCTTTTCAAGTAACGCACAGAGTTCCTTCGCCACGGCGGCGCCGGCGATGGCGCAGCGACGCCACATAGCAGCGGCGCACGTACCTCCTTATGCACCTCTCTTCCTCCTCTGCCCATCTCTCCCAGGCCAGACCTCTCCCTGTCCACCTCCCTCCTTATTTTTTCTCTATCCCGAGCGAAGCAAGCGTGGAAGACACAGGCGTGAGGCCTGCTGCTCTCACCACGTGTCTGTAACAATTATTTAAAATTTGAATCACAACAACAATCTTGTCTACGGTGGGAGAATGGCTGTCACATGTTCTTCTCGTATTTATTCATAGTTGGCAAGAACTTGATAATTACATAGGGCCTGGTAAAAAAAATTTCCATTTTTTATAATATTATATTTGATTCAGTCTCAAGCATTTAAAATAAATTAAATAATTTAGATGGTTCAATTACATCTTCATAATTAAGTTAACGGTCCAATTGTAAGGAGATTTAAATTCTTTCAGAACATTCTTTTTACATGCTAGCAATGATTCAGAATGTGATTCGAATGGATTGTAATTTGAAAATTTTGAATATTCGAAAAATACAATTGTCATTGAAATTTATGTATTAATGGTTTCTGCGATCAAATTATAAGAAATATGACAAAAATAAAAAATAAGGAGGGATCCGAGAATGTTTGTATGCATGTGGATCTTTGCATGTGTTCTAGGGCAAATCTCAAGGGTATGTGTACATGTTCATGAAATATGGAATTTTTTTTCCTTAGGTGTTGTAGAACCTAGGTAGGGGCCACCATAGCTCTGAGCCCCTCGAAATTTTGACAAATTAATTCAAGTTAAGGAGCTCGGGGTGGCGTTGTGGCACTATGAGCTCCCAATGGGAGCTCTGCGGTGAGGATGATTGGGCACCGAGGCGCTTGACCGAATTTTTATATTAAAAATATATTTTTTCATTATTCAAACTCATTTCACCTAGTCACATAGGTCAATGAGAGAGAGAGAGAGAGAGAGAGAGAGAGAGAGAGAGGAGGATTTCTAGAGAATAACTTTTGGACTGTTTTGGATCATTTTTTGTTTATGGCCAAGTTCTGAAAGTTATCTGGCTCAAGATAAGTTATATTTTGTCAATCTCAGTTTTTAATAATTCAACAATTTTGAAATTTTTCTGATTTAAAATATAAATTTATATTATTCAATCCGAGATAAATTTTAAACAAGGAAACTTTCACCGCATAATTATTTGTATGTTGTAAAGAACATAGTTCTAAACATTTAGGTTTTTTTTTTTGTAAAATTTTCATCAATTTTTTTAAAATGTTATTTTTTAACTATAAAAAAAATATTCATGAACTAAAAAATAATATTGTAGAACAAGTAAACCTCTAAAATTAATTATTCACAATCTCTGTCAATTTAGTAGAATCTTGAGTCAATAAATTTTAACTACATTGTATTGGATCTAACTATTAAAATGCTGGCCGTAGGGCAAATATCTGAAATTTTGTAAATAGTCCAATCTATGTTTAAATGCTTAACTGTCATGTTATACGACATAATTGATATATTGTGCATCTGTGAATAATATTATGTTTGTATCTGAGGAGTTCATTTTTGAAGGTGCTGAAAGCACTAGAAGCTCTGAGGGTCAAGAATTCTGAATGGGAGGCATAAAGATATGGTGTTATATTAATTTCTGTTATGTAATGTGTGTTAATTTATATTTTGCTCAACATACTTTATATTATCTTTAGCATGTTATGCTCTAAATTTTGTAACCTGCTTAGTTATACATAAAACGTTATACTGTTCTGACACCACTCTACTTTAAGTCTACTATTAAGATTAGAATAATTGTTTTATTTTATGTTATTGATTTTGCAATTATGAAAAAATGATTTGGGTAATATAATTTGTTGAGTTGTGTTAGCTCTTTCTGTATTTTGTATTTCATTTTCAATTGGGTACTATAGGTACGTTTTCTATTTTTTAAAATTTTTTTTTACAGTTCTAACTTTTTTTTATTTCCTACCCGGTGTCTGTTATTTGTTGGAGACTATGATAACAATTATCTATGATATATACTTTTGTGGATAAATAGAAATAGAAACAAAAATGTTTTGGATAAGTAAATTTAAATATAATGAAAAAAATTAGAAGCACTCTTTTTTATTATCGAAAAAGAAATCTAATATTTGTCCAAATAAAAGATCTTGATTTATTGTATTCCACCTCAATTATGTCACTATCCGACACGATGTGACATGTATCTATGAGTCATATTGGGTTCGGTTATGATAGTTTTTAGTATAAGAGTGTTGTTTGGAGATAAATGATAAATAGTGCTATATGAATTGATTTGTAGTCTTATGAAATATTTCTAGGAAGTAGTATCATGCATTCATATTATTTTTTGTTATTCATGTGCATGTATCAGTTGTCGTATGTGTTTTATGAGTTATGATGGGCTAGCCCGAGCACGAAATGAATAATGGGCAGAATGCGAGCCAAAGTGCGACGACAATTAATACAACTCATATTATTGGTTCTAATATGATGTCACAACTTGTTAGTTTGGTAGCACAATTGATGGGTCAGGCTCAAAGCAAAATTTCTTCTAGTAGGAATAAGGATGTGGATCAATATTTGCATATGTTTTTGAGGCTAAAGCCAAAAGATTGTAAAGGATTGGGTTATGAGGTTAGAGAAGATTTTTTATGAGATGTAGCGTCCTCCAAAGGAAAAGAGTAACTTTTGTTGTATTTTTTTGTTAAATGGTGAGGCCGAGCATTAGTAATTGAGCCGCCGGTAAGAGAAAATTTATGGGAGGTTAAATTTTCTGATTAGTTTGGTTTGTACCTCCGGCAAATGTAGGAGATATTTTTTAGATTGGTTTAGAGGAGCGAAAAAGTGATGCGGTATGAGACATAGTTGAGAACATAGTTTGCTCTGCATCTTGTTAGTACTTATACATAGAAGTGTTAAAAATTTTTGAGAGGCTTATGAAAATGCTCTAAGATAACTGTTGATTCTTATGAAGACTGTAAAGTCAATGGACTGTTCAACCTATTTTGACCAAACCAAATTATTATAAACTTATTTATTTAACGAGTTAAACAAGAACTCGTTTTATTGTGTTTAATTTGATAGTAACTTCATTTTGCTTATATATGCATATAATTGTATATGTTCATATTTTTACACTAAAAATCATTCAAACCAAGTCCAAGTTGACCTAAACAACTAGGAGAAGTCAGTAATATGAACTAATTGAAATGAAATCATTAATCGAGTCAGCACATCAGCTCTTGAGACAACTAGAAGTAGCCAACATCATGATGAATTTGCTAATTAGTCAAACTAAGAGTATGGTTTATAACGCCAACACAAAGTCACTAGGTCAACATCATTTGCATAATTGGATAAATTATTCTATGCAAACGTTGAACACCATCTGGAGACTAACCAGAATGAGCCACGTCGGTATTGCGGCACGGTATTGCTCAATACCGCACTCGACATTGCTGCCATTCTGGTTGGTCTCCAAATGTTTAGCTGTGTTCACAGAATAATTTCTCGCATCATTGAGGTTCTTTATGAAGTAAATAAAAACAATTTGATGCAACAGACCAATAGCCTGAAACATTCCAAACTAACAAGAATAATGATGTGTCTTCATTATTAGTTGATTCTACAATGGAACCTGATAAAGAAGCCATTAAAACTGCAGATTTCTAAATCGATTTTCTTCCAATTATTTCTAATTCAAAATCAGATTGTCTTATTATTAATCAACCTTCATTCATGTGATTTTCTACAAACTATATTTGTTAATGATGACATTAATGCCGAAGATATGGCTGTTTACATCTAAGTTGCTGATCAGAATTTGATAGTGGATAAGGGGAAAAGATTTTTGATAGAGAAGATTACTTACAATATTCTTTCAGATGATTTGGAAGAGATGTCATTGGGCAAATCAATCTTCATTGAAGCTCCCTCTTCTAATATGGTTGAGATTGTCAAGCTTAAGATTATTCGACAATATTAATAAAGTTCAATTCTATGGATCTTTGTCCTGAAACCAGCACCATCCAAAATTGCCCTGATTCTCTAAATGGGCAACTTATCATTTGCTCATACTGAAGATTGTGGAATCATTGTTAATCTGGAATCTTTTTATGAGCTTATTCTACATGCCACTGGAGGCAATGTTGAAAGATTTCTCAATGCCATTAGTCAATTTAAAAACTTCTCGATTGATAAATTCTCTTATCTCCGTCCATTTTGGAAATATCAATCATTTTTATCATACTCATCATCACAGAAGTTGCTTCAGCAACCGATTGTAAGTCAAAATTTTGATTGCCCGGAAACCGCTTTCCTCGTCAAGGATTCCCTGTATATTTTCGATTCCGCCCGTAGCACTTCCCGTATTTTCTTTGTTTTCTGCCTTCAAGCACTTTTGCTACCGGCCTACGGGGTTGCTACCGACTCCTCCCAAGGAGCCTGACTGGCTAGTCTAAGAAGAAGATGCGAGAAACAAAGGCTACTCTCATCATTTGCTTTATACTTGAAGTTCTCAACCTATTTTTATGATCACCTTGTCTTGAGCTTGAAAAGATTGAAGGCTTCAAAGGAACAAAACATCAAGTTGAAAACCCAAAGAAATTAAGTAGTTACATAGACTGGAAGAACTGAAAAACTAGGTGAAACCGGTAGGTGCTCCTATCATGATTTGGAATAATATGAGAACAGTAAGAATTGGCTTTGTAATAAAAAGAAGAAAAAAAATATTCATTAACATCAAAGGTTTAAAGGAAAATGCCGCCAAGAAGATGATAATACAAGCTTTTTTCCACAATCATCAAAACAGGAGTCGTAATGAATGACTTTCTCACAAAATGGTACCATGAAAATTTTACTATTGTTTGAAGGAATCATTTCAGCAATCACCATTTAGCTAGCTTCTAAATCAATTTTAATGAACTACATCATGATGATGCCTGTGGCCATGATATTACTGTAAAAAATAGATCACAACATGCCATTGCTATAATCTTATATTGTATAAACTATTCTCTTTAGAAGCAAGCAAATCACCAAGATAAAATGGCTTTCTTTAAGTCCTTCAAATTATGAGGAATTATATTTACCCTGACCTAGCTTGTTGGTAAGGCTCATCTTAAAAAACTTTATACAATATTTATCAGACCAATAAAAAAAGGAAGCAATACGCTTTACACTTTATACAATGAACAAAATTGGAGATCGAGAATTGCAATAATGGTTGAAGCATAAGCATCGTTCTTACAAGAGATGCATATAAAGGTAGAAACCAAAATGACCCATATAGCATGATGTCCAGCTAATCTCAAATGCACCACCACCACCAAATCTTCTGCATTATCAAAATTGAATCCTAAAAAATGACGAAATCATAAAATAGGTTGGGAACTTGTCGGAGAATGGAGTTCTTTCACCCTCAAAAACAGTAATTTTATTGCAAGAAATCAAATAGACGGAAAAAAAATACCAAGATACAATTGATCCTATATTTGAGAGGAGGATCTATCTCCCCCAAATCTCTAGATGCCGCTAGAGCCCAAAAACCTAAACCTAAGAGATCTCAAATTTCAACCAAATTCAAGATGCCCTAATCCTAAGAAAACAAACTATTTAAAGCATACAATCAAAAAGTAATCTCTAAACAGTCCCTACATTCAAATTTCCCTCTTAATTCCCTAAGAAATCCTTCCAATTTCGCTCTGTGAAGACCGGGCGGTCGGATCCTATGTACAGGAGGCGGAGACTTCCACCAAA